AAAAGAAAGAAAAGATAAAAATAATTAATAAGAAAATTATTAATTTAATTAAACTGTAAATTAAGTGTGATACACATGACTAAATTAATATTTGAATAAGGGTAATAATATGAATTAAAAATAGAATTAATTATAAATAAGATTAATTAATATAAATTACTTATTTACCTAATTTAATAGTAATTAGTGATTATTATATTATATATTATAGCTATACCATATACTGCATTATATTTATTGCATTATATGAATAGATAATTGATTATAATATATATATTTTATATATTATTTTTATTTATTTTTTTTTGTTCTATTAAAAAAATATTTTATTAGAAGTTAATACTCATATAAATTATCTTATTGAAAAGATAATTAGTTATCTTAATCTTTTAAAATTAAAAATAAATAATTATCATGAATATAATTATTATTATTATTTTAAATTACTTATATATATATAAACTTAAAATAATAATAATATTTTAAGACTAATATTATATTATAATTTATTTCTTATATAATAAATAATTTTTTTCTTATAATTTACTTTTTATATAAAGAAATAAATCTATATTATAGCTAATTTTAATAAAATTTATATTTTCTTTTTTATATATATTTTATTTTTTTTAGATATTACTTTTATTAATTCAAATTAATTTATTCTTACTTATAAAAATATTAAATTCTTAAAAAAATATTAAGATCTTTGAAATTTATATATTAATTTTAGTTTTTTATTATATTTATTAAATTTTAATCTATTCAGAAATTTTAATACTTATAATGAGAATTTTTTATTTAATAAATTCTTAAAATATATCAATATTATTACCTATCTATTATATAATAATATAAAAGATATTTATTTAAATTTTTTTATAATTAATAAATATAAATATTTTTACTAATATATATTAATCTTGTAATTTAATTAATTTATTTCTTAAAAAATTATATAATCTAATTTTTTTTACTATGACTAGAATATTAATCTTTTAATATATTATATAATATATATATTAAGAATTTTAATAGTAATATAATATTTAATATTTTTAGAATATATATATTATATATCTTTTATTTAAAATATAATATTCTTATTATATTCAAATATATAAATTTTCAAAAACTTTTATTTTTTTCATAATATTTTTAAGTTTTTTAAATAATATTATATAAAGAATATTTAATTATTTAATAAGATATTAGAATTTATAATAATAAATTCTTTTGTTAAAAATATTTTTAACTTCATATTATTCTTTATTATTTAAGATAATAATAATTAATAATGATATATATTTATTAAATTCATTATCTGAATTATATTTTTTTAATAATATAATATAAAATATTAGATATAATTTTATATTGACTGATAATTATAATTTATAAGTAACTAAAAATATAATTATAAAGAATTCAATATAAATTTCTTAATTATTTTTTATTTATTAACTGAATTATTAATATTATAAATAGAAAAAAAAACTTAATTTCTAATAAAAAATTCTTTATATCTTTTATATTTATTTATATATTTTGATTATTTATTTTATATTTCTATTAATAAATTTTTAGTAATCTTGATCATAATATTTTAAACTTTTGTAAAATTATAATATTTATTTATAATTTAATTTAAATATTATATATTTAATAAAAGTATTTTTGCTATTATTATAGATAAATTTAACTATTATTAAATTTTTATTCTATTGATCTTATTTGTATATTATATAAATTTTAAATATTTCTTTTTAATTTTTCAATCTGATTATTTAACTAAAAATAAAATATTATTGATATTATTAATTTTATTTCAAGTTATTCAAAAAATAACTTTTAAAATTTACTTATAAATTTAATATCTCTATCTAAAATTATTACTAAAAATAGATTATATAATTTAAATATATTCTTAAGAAATATTTTTCATTTTTCATATTTTATATCAAATTTATTTTATTAGATTAATTAAAAAATTTACATATCTTTATTAAATATAAATTATATAATAAATTCTATTTTAATTATTTTTTTTTATGATATAAATTTATTAATAATCTTTTCATATTCTTTATTATATAACTTAGAAGTATATTTTTAAAATCATTAAATTCAAAGATAAAAAATAGATTAATTTGAAAAAAATAGCTTTTAACTTTTATTAAAAATATATTTTTATAATTGATCTTAATAATAATATTCTTGAACAGATATATAAGTTTCTCTATTCCATTCAAAAGTTAACTAAAGTAAAGTTATAGCTATGAATACAAGAATAATGAAGAAAAAATCATTATCAAACCTACAAACATCTTAATGTAATTGTATATTTTTTCATTATTATTTGCTTTCATATCAATACATCCTTCATCAACATATTTTCAGTTCTAATAAGCTATTAATGATTGAGATTTGAAACAAATTCCAATGGATATTTGAAAAGATCAATTTTGAAGTATATGAATATCATGAGATGATTAAGCTATCTAAGACTCAAGTGAAAAAAGAAGCAGATATATAAAGACTTCAGATTGGTAAACTTATAGAAAGAATGTGAGACAAGTATTGGAAAATTGAAAATAAAGGTAATGTAGAAGCAACTAAGACATTTATTACATGTTTGAATAAATTGTTGGCTCCAGTTTTTATAATAAAAATATTAAATTTGTAATGCATAGATAAATTAGATAAATGAAATTTATTTTACAAATATAATTAGTTGAACAAGTTTTTTATATTTACAATTTTAAACAATTACATATATATAATTGTTATTATACGTTTGCTAATAATTGTCTCCATATTCCTTAATTATTATTAATGTTTTGTGTTCACTATAATTATTCGATTTGTTCACTAATTACTTTTCACATGATACGATCCGGATCGAATTCTATGTCACGTGAAACTACCCGGCTTTAGTGAAGTAATCAATCCACTGTAACAATTATGAATGAATTCAAAAATTTGTTATATCGAGACTTTACTAATAAATTCATTATATCGAGTAGGATTATTTATGCTGTTCTGGACTTAATTAGCATAATAACAATGCTAGACAATATTCTCCATCACTAGCAAGCAATTCGGGGATAGTAATATCAAATTCGCTGACAGTTTTTTCATGTTCTTTGTTACATACAATAATGAAATATCTTTTTGACATTTTCGTATTTTTTCCAAGCCAAAAATAATTTAATTATCAATTAAATAGCCATGAACATTATGAATTATTAACAACGCTCGGTTCGATCCATCCAGCATTACGTCCACGTGTAGTTTCTTCATACAGCTCCAATGTCAAACTACTCAAAAAACCAGGAATCGAATTTCTTTCCGTGACCCAAAACTGATACAAATTGGAGAAGTTAGTTTGATCAGCACCAATAAGTCGCATGTCTAGCTTATTAAACAGGAGTGATTGGTCTTGGCGATACAAGGACGTCAATCGAACACGTTCATTCTCCAAAAAGTCAAATTGGTAGCCGAGAAGTCGATAGACGGATTCTTTGTATTCTTTAATTTTTACGCTCCAAGTCTAGAGAAATTATATAATTAATAAATTTGAGTAACAAAATGTAAACGGATACGAGCCGAGCATACCTCTTTAAATCTAGCGAATTTAATATCCTTTGCGCCGATTTGCTCTTGTAACTTTTTATTTTCTTCTTCCAAGTTTTTGAAGCTCTGTGCTGGTATAAAACTTTCATCATTATCATTGCCTTCACTCAATTCATCATCATCTTCTGTCACTGTCTCATTTATGGCGTCGTCTCCATCATTTTGATTATTGGCAGACTTTGATAATTTTTTCTTTAATCGTTTTAGTTGTTGAAGAAGTTGCTTGTTTTCCTCACGTAGATTGTCCAAGGTTGATTGTCTTTCTGCAAATAATTGAGATTCTGGATTATCCTCAAGTTGCAAGACCTACAAAATAATAATTTCTAATGCTTGGTTCTATTGACAGATCAAATCAATATTCTTGATTGAAATAGGCCAACAAAAAACTTACCCTAGTCATTTGCTCATCAAATTCTCGTCTTCGCACCAACATTTCGAAATTACCCACCTCTTTCTCCAAAGAGGCTAAAGCTGCCTTCAATTTTTCATTTTCCATCTGCAATTCCTTGACAGCTAAAAAAATCGCATTTCATCAGCTACAAAAACGAGTTATAGCGTTTAAAAATGTGAATGTGTCAAAACTAAAAATACTTTTTTGTGCATCTTTTAGCAGTTTTGTATTGATTAAAGCGGTTTCTTTCTCATTTTCCAAGGTTTCTTCGTATATTGTCAATTGTTTCTGAAGCGTAGCAATATCTATTTTCAATGACGCGTTTTCCTTTTGTAATCCTTCAAAGGCTTAGATAATATCAAGATATAAATGTCATTAAGTTGAATTCATAAAAAAAACAATTATTTATAATTAGAAATAGTGCATACCTTGTTGCAACGTATTATATTCTCGTTTGAGTTCAGTAGAATACGCCTGAGTTTGATTAACCTCTTGCTCTTGTTCCGTAGTTGATGGGTTATCATTTGTCGATTTGATGCCCTGAATAGCAGTTTCTACAGTTCGCCGATAATTTCCTATCATTTGTTGAAACAATGGGAACATTTCGTCTTTCCACTTATTGGGATTTTCCTCTGTTGTTACATCTGGATGACTCGTTCTCTAAAATAGAAGATACAGTCAGTGTTTTCTTACCCATTAATAAGGAAACATGAATATCATTTCACTCACCAGAGTCTCCCAAACCTTTTTTGCTTCGGCAGATAATTTACCTTTGGCTTTTTCGAACAATTGATATAATTGATGATTTTCATTCGTCAATTTACGAATCTTTATTATTTGAAAATAGTTTGTATTATAATAATTAACTAGATGTAAAAATAAAAATAAACATTCATAACTAACCTTCACTTCATACGACTCAATCACCGCATTTCTTTTTTCAAGAAATTCTTCATATAGACGCGTTCTTGCTTCCAACGTCTGAATCTCGATCTTATAATTCTTTATATTTTGTGAAACTTTATAAGGCGAGCCGAGTTTATCCTTCTCAAGCACAGTAGTCCTTAATAATATATTCAAAACTATAAACCAATTATTATAAAAATGAATTCGAAGATGAGCCAGATAAAATTTACCAGAGAGCGGTATCTTGTTCTAATTTGGCTTTTTCGATTTGCAGATTGGACATTAATTCAAAGCGCCGATTTAGCTCCTCAACTTGTCGACGCAAAGACTCTTTTTCCAAACACAATCCCACAACTAATGGACTGCACTCTCTTTCCTTTCTTAACTGTTCTTTTAGAGAAGCCGCATATGTTAACTGATCTAAATAAAAATTATTCAGATAAACACATAGATAATAAATCGTGACTGGAGAAGCAAACATCATGTTTTTTACCTTCATATTTTTTCTTTAATGCTTCGATGCCTTCCACTTGTGACGCTGCGAGATTGTAACGATCAAGCATTTTCTCTTTTTCGATGATTTGTTCTTGTCGGAAATTTGCCAATTTTTCCTGGGCTTGGAGCTAAGAAATATAATATTAATTAAATTTTCAAAATTGAAAATTTGATTAATATTATAATAAAGAAAATTTACCTTAAATGTTGTATGATTCAGCTGTTCCTCAAGCTCTGAAACCTTTCTTTCCAATTCATGAATCTTTCGATTTGCCTCCCTGGTATTCTGCTCTGCATATTGAAGCTCAGTGGATTTTTGCAACACCTTTTGACTTTCTTCAGCTAGTTCACTCTTCATTCGTATCAGTTGTTCCTGATTTCCACAATGATAGAAATATATTTATCTCAAGCTGTGAGACAATTCGCGTTAACTTTGTACAAGAAAACGCACCTGTATCTGTGATCTAGCCTCTTCGGTTCTCTTCTCGCCCTCTAGTACCAGTCGTTTTTGCTCGCGGAGGGATTCATTTTCTTGTTGAAGAGACTTTGATTTACAAAATAATATTTAATTCAATATCTTTCAACCTTTTTAGAAAGGAGAAATCATAAAGATTTTGAATTGTACTTCTTTTTCGAGTTCAACTTCTTGTATTTGGATCTTTAGATTATCTTGTAGCCTCTCCCACTTTCTCTTATCTAAATTATTCTGAAACTCTTTATTTGAAAGCTGTCTTTCCAGTGCTTGCGCTTTTCTGTTCGCTTCATCGCGCTCACCGAGTAATTTTTCAATTTTTGAGTTTACATCAAAGGAATGTGTGGTGGTGATATTGGACCCTACAAAATAACAAACAGTAAGAAAAAAGCATGCTTCATGGTTGAGAGCAAATTAATATGTACGATTAATTACTAGTAGTCAGGTTTGTGCCTGGCGTTGTAAAGAGAGGGTTCTGGGCTATAGACAAGGGAGTCGTCAAAGCAGAAGTTACAACAGAAAAGTTTCCAATGGAGTCACGCCGCGATCTCTACCAGGTATAATTTAAAAATGTATTAGAAGTACACGTCTAAACAAATACAAGCACAAAAATTTTATAATGGATACCTTAGTACCGCGAAATGATCTTTCGGCCTCGCCGCTATCGTCGTCCCTAAACCGTTCATTGCTGAACATAGGGGGAACTCGAGAAGTAGAGGCCAAGAAAGGATTATTTTCGTCCTCAGCAGGAGGTTGTTGGGCTTCTGGATTACTCATTGGTAAAGTAAGTTTATTCCTAAATTTGATTGGATCTATTATTATCTAATAAACAAACAACACATTGTTGTCACACATTCATTAAAAGTTGACAACTCGTTTTATCTTTCACCAAAAAGTCATTTGTCTAGAAAATAAACTTAACATTTCCAAGTAATCAATCATAAGTCTCATTCGATGTCAGTAAAAGACAGAACTTCAGAATTTCACACAGCGGTTGAGTCTATAAGATCGCGAGCCTCAGGTGGTGGGGGTAGCTCTTTTCATGCACGAAATCTAGAACATAGAAGACCACTTTTGGCCGAAAGCAAAGCTGGAAGTAATATTGAAAGGATGAATAAAAGTGAGTTTGCAAGGATGGCATCTGCAATCGGTAGAGACATTAACGTTACAGCGACAAAACTGCAGAAATTGACAAAATGTAGGTTTTAATATATCAGACGAGGATTCATGTACTTGAAAATGTTGTTGTCGTTCATTGAAGTTTCAATATCACAGAATTTCAAGATCTCCTTTATTTTTAAACAAGTGGCTAAACGGAAGACATTGTTTGACGATCGGCCTGTGGAGATTAGTGTAAGCGTTGCTTCTTGCTGTTGTTATGTTGGGTTTGTTACCTAATAATTAGAACAAAAACTTTAAATAATTATATAATTTAATAGGAATTGACATTTATAATTAAACAAGACATTGCAAAGTTAAACAAACAAATTGCCCTTCTTCAACAATACGTACGTGAGCATAAACGATACAATAGACAAGCCGATGAACATTCATCCAATGTGGTGGTCATGTTGCAGTCCAAACTGGCAAATACAAGTATGAGCTTTAAGGATGTGTTGGAAATAAGGACACAGGTGAATATTCTTGTATTTGCTCGAGTCCCTCATTTTTATGATTTGAGTGAATGTGAAGTTTTTTGATTATTTGAAATTTAGAATATGAAGGCCAGTAAGGATAGAAAGGAACAATTCATGTTTTCTAATTCGCAGCAAGCAGATATTCCATCTGGTATATTTTAACCAAATCTTGATTTGCACTATCGGATTTTCCATAATATTTATGCATTTACTCTATATTCTTAGCTGCATCACCATTATATAATATGGAACGACGCAATGATCAAAAAAATCGAGATTTTCTCGCTCTGGATATGACGTCTGGGGGTCAAGTACAACAATTACAACTAATTGAACAACAGGTTTTTATTAATATTACACGTGTAAATTATGTATTATTAGACACTAACAAATTAATTACCTTAGGACACTTATATCGAAAGTCGAGCAACAGCAATTGAATCTATTGAATCGACTATAGCAGAACTAGGAAATATTTTTCAACAGTTGGCAACGATGGTGGCTGAGCAACGAGAAACTGTTCAACGGTAAATACTATTTTTTATTTCTCTAAATTTATGCTTAATTCGTCGATAATTTAATAAATAAAATTCAATCAATTTGGATCCACGTAGGATTGACGCGAACACGGATGACATACAAACACATGTCGAGGGAGCACAAAAGGAATTACTAAAATACTATGCAAGCATTACTTCGAATCGGTGGTTGATGATTAAAATATTTGCGGTTATAATATTCTTCTTTTTGGTGTTTATTGTGGTCACCTGAATGATGATGGAGAAACTTTTTTTACCGTAATAATTATGGTGATTGTGTTATGTGTTATTGCTATGTAATAATTCATTTATCTAATACTGTAATTTTAGCGCACAATTAATATTTTTTCTTTCTAAACAGTCTTAATATTTATTAATGCTTTTGCAAAAAAAATTATAATTTCGGAGTTCCGATATGCATTAGCTAATCTAATCGGTTATGAATACACGTTCAATTTTCTCATGTAAAAAATAAAAAGATTAAGCTGTAATGGCATAAAGCCTGATTATTCGGATATGAGGCCGTAATAGTCTTATTCTCACCGTTTCAATTTTTTGCTTAGTAATACCATAGTAATTTTTACATGTAACTCAGCCTGTTTTTTCTGTGATAATTCTTTCTATTTTGATATTTATTGATGTATTTATAATATATATTATATATAAATATAGTTAACTTATCACAATCTTTACAAGTATATATTAAAGATTTTTAATGAATATAGCATTCTTCTAATCTTAATCACAAATTTTTTCAATTCTATAAATATATAAGTAATGATAAAATATTATTAAACTTATATATAATTACTTTAATCAAATTTATATTTTTTTATCAATATAATTTATGATGAAATAATTAATTTTATTTTAAAGATTTAAAAAAATACTATATATAATATAAATTTATATATAAATTAATAAAATAAGTTTATCTAGTAAAGCAAAAAAACTTTTTTATGAATTATTATAATAATAATATCTAAATCAAAAACTAACTGAATATAATAAAACAAAAAATCTTCTTATTAATTTAATAAATCTTAATTATAAACTTAATAATAAAGAATATATATTTTATAAATATTAGCTTAAATCTAATAATTATATTAGCTTTACTGATAAAAATAATATTATACTTTTAGATATATATTAATCTGAAAAGTTTTATTTTTAATATATAATTTAAATAATAGAAAAAGATAATATTATTATTAGTTATCTTATTAAGATTTATAAGATATTAGATATTCATAAAAATATTAATAAAAATTAATCTCTTTATTTAATAATATTGATATAAAATAAAAGTTTAATCTTATTAATTCTAATTTTTTTCTTTAGATAATAAAAAAATTACTTATGAAGAATTAATATCTCAAATTTTAATTAATATATATTTCTTTTAAATTTTTGTATTAGTAAGTTTATTAAATATAAATAAATATAATTAATATATTATTTATTCTTATACTTAATTTATAAATTATAAGAAACTTAAAGATTTTACTAAAAAAATTATTGAATTAATAGGAAAATTTTATTTAAAATTTATTGATATTAATTTTTTCAAATTATATTTTAGTTTTTAATTTCTTGAATTAATAAAGAAGAATATATAAAAAGATTTACTATTTCTTTTATTAATAAAGAATTTTAAAAATTAAATAATTATTTAGTTCAGTTTAAAGAAAATTCAAAAATCTAATTATAAATCTTTTTTTAATAAAAAAGAAATTTTAATTTATTAATAATGAAAATATTTTAATTAAAAGAGTTAATTTAATTATTATAAAATATAAATAATTCCAGATTGAAAGAATTAAGAAGTAGTTTATTAACTTTCAAGTATAATTAGTTAAGAATTATCTTATATATAATATTAAAGATTAATTTTATACTTAAATATTATTAATAAAAATAATATAAATTGAATTATAAAAGGCTTATCTTTAATAAAATATTATATAAAATTAAATAAAAAATAAAATCTAAATTAAAATTAATTAAAAAAATTATTAATATTATATTAAATTCATATTTATTTTTTGAATTATCTGAAAAAGTTATTAATATAAAAAAATAAAAGATATTTTAAAAATATATTTTAATCTTTTAAATAATAAATCTAGTATAATTAATAGAATAACTTATATAGTAACTCTCTTTATAGTGTAACAAAAAAATTTAATAGTAAAAAATTTTCAAAAATTCACTATATTGAGAGTTTATTAGTAAATTTACTATATTGAATGAATTTTATTTAAAGGTAGTTTTGAATATTATTCACTATATCACGAGTTTAATTAGTCTCTATTATAAAGAAGATACATTATAAAGAGAGTTACTGTATATATTAAAAATCTTATCAAAAAAAAATAATATATAAAAATAGAAAAAAAATTAAGCTTTTAATTAAATATTAATAAAACTAATATAATATATTAAAAAAGATAATATATAAAGATTAATATATATAGTGACCATCAAAAGTAATGCAACATTTAAATTTTTTACTAATTATAATTAGTAAAAATTTTAAGCATTACATTATTTTTGATGGCTACTGTATATTTATTTTTATAATAATTAAAAAAATAGATTTATATTTTCTATTATAATTTATAAATCAAATTCTAATTTTTAAATATTTAAAATAAATATAAAAAATAATATTTTATTATAAAAATTATATTAAACTTAATATTAGATTGTTTTTTATTAATATTTTACAAAAAAATTTTAAAAATTATTTTTTTCTTTTAAAATAATTTTATATAAAAAATTATTATATTAATTAAAATTAATTTTAAATAATAAAATATTTAAAAATTATAATTAATATTGATAAATATTCTTGTATTTTTTATTAATTTTATTCAAAAACTTTTAAAAAATAGTTAATTCTAATAAAATAAATACTAAAGATAATATTCTAATTAATTATAACTTATAATATTCAATTAGAAAATTATAATTTAATTATAATTAATTATAATAGCTAATTAAAAAATTATAATCAAGTTATAACTAATTATAATTTTGTCTTTAATAAATATTTATTATAATTTGTTTTAATTTCATATATTTAAAAAAAATTTAGTATATATTTATATTTTTAATAAAAATAATAAAAAAAATATTAAAATCTTGTTAGATTATATGAATTATAAATAAATTAATATTATAATATATTTATATATATAATAAGTAAATATTTGAAAAACTCTATGAAAATATTATATTAAAATTATAATATTATATTTAGTTTATTTACTAGAAAGATAAATTAATTTTAAAAATAAATATATAATAAAATATTATTCAAAAATTATCAAAATATTAAAAGAGAAAAATTATTTAATATATAAATTAATAAAGAAATTTAATAATAAAATTAATAATTTTAATAATACTATAATATTATATATATTATTTATATCTGATAATATTATTTTACTTAATATTTTATATCAAAGAAAAATTAATTATTTCTTTCTATTATTTTTGACTTGAAATTTTATGCTGAACAGAATATTAAATTTTTTATTATTTTTGATATTGATTTATTATTTTATTTAAGTTTTATTATTGATTTGTTATTTTAAATTTTATTATTATATTTTTGTTATTATCTTTTTTATTTTGTTTTGAGATTTGTCATTAAATAACTTTACTAATATTTATTCTTCTTTTGAGATTGAAAATATTAGAATATGATTATATTAAAAGAAATATCAATATTATTCTTATTTTATTTCTTCATTTATTAAATATATACTCATTCAATTCCTTTTTATTTTTAACTCTCTTATCTTACTTTTATTTTTTTATCAATAACAAAAGAAAATAAAATTGTCAAAACAATACGAATATTATAAAATAAAATTGTCAAAACAATACGAATATTATAAAATAAAATTGTCAAAACAATACGAATATTATCTATATTATTATTAGTTATTTTAGATGTTATCACAATTTGCGATATGAAAAATTCTTCCTTTTTTTATATGGATAATCTGCATTTGCAGAAAAACTACATGTTCAGTATAACTTTTTCATAAAATCATTATTTATAATAAAGTAAGTATATGCAGTAATTTTTTTTTGATAAAAGTCAGCAGATGAACTTTGAATTATTTTTTTTTAACTATAACGATACATATAACAAATAGCAAGAATATACTTATAACCAGTATTATGACGCTTTTGATCGTGCGCAACCTATCTTTAGGGGCCTCTTCTACATCAGTAATGCCTCTAGGATTGATTTATTAACTTTTTCATTCTTTAGTCTTTTACAATAGGTACTTATCTTCAACAACGGAATGGATTCGATAAACTCTCTGCTTTTCAGAATTTGATTATTTAAGGTCTAGCATGATGGTCATTTTTCGTGAACTGGTATGATCTTCGGTAAATTCTCCGACTTTCCACTCGCCTGCGGCACATGGTATACCTTCATATTGCTTTTTACTCTCGCAGCACAGTTAAGTTCTCTGTACTTGCTTTCCCGTGGTCTGTGTTTAAAGTCTAGCATAGTTGCCATTTTTTTGTGAGCTGCTGTACAAACTATAATAAATAACAATCACTTGTAATGTTAATAAAAATATATGTATTAGAATCAATCATCTATCAAGCATATACAAAGCATCAATTAAATATTTTTAACGCGTTTGGCGCATCCGCATTTCAGTATAAAATAGGTACCAAGAATAAAATTTTTTATTCTTTTTTCAAAAAAAAAACAAAAACGAAAACCATACCTTATTCATAAAACAACGAAAACCATACCTGATCTAGCGGCGATAAAGGTATCGACAATTTAATAAAAAGAATGTAACAAATTTAATAAAGATAATGAATTAATCGAATGGATTCCTTTTGAAAGATTTTACCAGCATTGAATATCTTGCAAAGGAGGTTTTGGGTTAATTTACATATAAAGCAACCTGACCATTGGATAATAATAGTATAATTATTACACCAAGTATTGTTTAGATCGATATATCGATGTCACTTGATTTGTAAATGTTGAGGAATTCTTGTCGGAATCTTTCTTTTTTGTTGTCTTTCATAGTAAATGTTGAGGAATTCTTGTCGGGAATCTTTCTTTTTTGTTGTCTTTCAGAGAAAGATAATATTTAATATTACCGAGTAGACAGATCTTTCCTAATATAATCAAAAAAATTCATGAAGCGAAAATTAAATTTCGATTAACTGGGAGCA